GGTTCCATTCTTGTCCTCTGACTTGGATCTGATCAAAGAAAGAGATCACCACAGAGAACCACATACTCACTCCAACACCAGCAATCAACACACAGGTACTTTACCACCACGACACAGATTCCCAGCGAGTACTTCAACGGAAAAATATCCGAGACTTTAAGAGTAAAACACTTAGACTCAAACCAAATAGGATCCGATATCTGGTGAGGCTAATCACACGGTTTTACTGCCTTTGAGCTCCACCTAGACTTGTAAAGCTTCAACCTTTACACTCGGAAGACTCCTTATAGAAGAAAGCTTCAAGCTTTGACACAAAGCTTCTTTTTACAACCACAACGCTTCCAAAACCCGGAAAGGTTCAAACTTTACCACCAAGCTCCAAACTTTGTCACTAAAACCTGGGCTCTGATACCATTGTAACAAGTTTGTAGCTCCTTTTTGGTATTTTTCCCTTAGGTCCTTTTTAGATTTGAGTATAGTTTTGCTTGTGCCTTAAGTTGTTTGCTTTGTTAGTGCAGAAAATAAAGACACGGGAGTTTTACGACTTCCCACGCCAAGACCGGCAGTGGTACGTCTCGGTGAGCTTTAACCCTGCTCACAAGAGTATCAAAAGAAAGGCTTTACAAGTGATTCACACACACACCCCAGCTCACACCTCTCACCGTACAGAGTAACCCCAAGAAGAGATAATGAAACCAAGAAGACGATGAAGAACACTCACCACTAAGCTGCTCACTTGTGACACACACTACAGGGGATGCAAACAAAACGCAGAGTATAAAGCAGGAAGCACAAACCAGGCTTCATATCTCAGCTGCATTCATAATGGGCTTCGGCTAAACCAGCAGGCCCAAGATGCGAACACAACAAACCCAGATTGGCCCAAAGGATGAATCGCATTTCACAATAGGATCGGCTGACACACTAAACATCCTCTCCTTCATAAAAAATTAGCAAGAAAAAGCTAACTATAGAAGAATCTGATAAGAATCCTCTTTATTGAGTAAAAACTTCTTTATACATTAAAAACTATGAATACAAGCTGAAGAGCATGGTATTGAAAGCATTCACTTTTATACTCTTAACAACTCTAAGAAACAAGCCGCATCATTGCATCAACCATAAGAAAATATCTAAAGTAACTGAGGATCCTAAACGACCTTGCCAGCTCTTATTGTAAAAAGGCCTTGACTTACTTTAGATATTAGGATTTTCCTAAACGGCATTGCCAGCTCAGCAGCTTGAAGATGCCACCTCAGCTTCCTTCTGCATCCTCAATTTCCCGTAAAAGGCTCTCCAAGCATTTCAATATCCTCCTTTGTGAAGAATGAATATCTCTCTAGCGAAAAATGGCTACTGTTTAAAGTCACATAGCTTCCACCAAGTATTCTCATGTCCGGGCCACCCCTTCCACTTCACCAATACCTCCAAATAGTCTAATTCATCACAAATTGTATCTAAGATCATGATTATTATTTTTGAACTTTTTATGTATATATATGTCATTATCTATGTTTTCTTATTTTAATAATCATGATTCTTTATTGAATTTTTATGTATATACTTAAACAACTTAACAGGAAACAAGGTTCATAAATATGTTGTTAGCTTTTACTTAACCGTAAAAAATTACAACAATACAAATATAGTATCAATGATATCTTGAACTGGTCAAAGTTCTTCTGAACATTTATATCCCTCGCAAATCGCCTGCTCCATATTCTCAACAACTTACAATGTCTATAGGTTTGACAAACACTAGAATAATCCTAAGCAACAAAAATCATAACAAAAACCGATAATCTACGCTTTGGACTACACTTATGCGGCTGGAGCATAATCATATGTACCATCATCATCGTCATCACCGTTTTCTACATATGCGACCTGATGGTACTCAAATTTTCGATCATTGTTAGTCGCATCACCTCGGATGCATGTCTCATAAACTTGGTCACAGCTACGGAGAACAAATTTAGAAATCGAAAACATTGTCCTTTTTTGGTCAATGGGCAAAAGAAGATGCTAAATCAACAAATGGGAAACAAGAAGAGATTTATGAGTTTGGTGTGGGAAAGAGATATCGTTGAGCTCGTTATATAGATGCAACAAAAAGTTATAAAAAGTTTGGACTCGGTATGACTTCAGTCAACCTCTGTAAAGAGTGCGATGTGCTTAGAAACAAGTGTGCTTGCCACAAATAGCATATTGCTTTTCTATCAACACGTAAGATTTCCTGCTTACACAGTGGACGATGTTTATGATGTGGACCATATCTTCTTAGTTAATTATTCACAAGTAATATAGCAGTGAGAGAGAGAGAGAGAGAGAGAGAGAGAGAGAGAGAGAGAGAGAGAGAGAGAGAGAGAGAGAGAGAGAGAGAGAGAGAGAGAGAGAGAGAGAGAGAGAGAGAGAGAGAGAGAGCAGTTTTACTATGATTATTCTTTTAAATCTTTTTTAATTTTTTTTTTTGGTTAAATGCGTTAAATCTTTTTTTAAATTATATATAATAGGGTAGTAAAAGTGTAGATTACCTCTTTCAAAATGAAATTAAAGTAATTGCAGAGCAAAGTAAATCTAATATCTATATATAACACAAGTATCTTACACCATTATGTCGCCACTACAAATATCAAATAATATTCTCATGAGAAAAAAGGACTAAACCTTTTTTCTTGCTTTCCTGCTTTGAAAAGAATAAGAAATGTTACCCAATATGTGTCGCGGACGTGTCATTATAAATCCAATGTGTCAAAAAGTTAATCGCGATTCGTAAATTATATCGTGTCACTCCACAACGTTTATTAGCATGTCACACTCCTTGCTGAGGTCAGTAAACGAGTCCATACTGATCTCTCATCAACATTTTTCTCACCTATAAAAGGGTCCAACGATCTCTGTTTCCTTATCAAAACTCACATTAATCTTTGTGTTTTGCATTTGCTCTGCGACTCGATTTATAGCGTTTCCTTTTTCCATTATCCTAAAAGCAAATTATGATATCTGTTTCCGAATTTGTTCTTTGTCTATACAGAGCCGTGCCCACATTAATTGAGACCCTAAACAAATTTCCAAAAACACAAAAAAATTAAGAGAGAAAAATATACAAATACCACAGTTAGAGATTTAACATCTTATACTACTTTTGTTTTAATATTTTAGTTTTGTTTTAATATTTTAATTTTATTTTTAACTATTTTTTATATGAGAAAAATATAGAAACTATGCTGTAATATGAAAATATCTATTTTTAAGCTTTAAAAGTATATATATATACCTTTCAAATTATAATATTTTATATTTTTGGTAAAAATAAATAAGCTTTTTAAGATGTTAAAAAAAATTTAGCCCTAAATCAATGTTTCAAAACTTACTACATGGGCACGGCCCTGTGTCTATATGACAATATCGACGAAACATACATCGGAGGCAACATCGCTAAGAATGGTCAAGCTGCATATGTAGAAAATGGTGACAACGATGATGACGTTATCTATGATTATGCTCCACCAGAATGAGTGGATCATATCTTCGTAAGGCCCAAGCGTAGTAATCGGGTTATTTTAATAATTTTGTAACTGTTATATTAATGATTTTATGCCCTAAGGATTCTTTATGTTTGTTGGCTTAACACTTTCACTAGAAATAGTCGAATATTTTATTCTCTAAACCTCAATCGCTCTCACATAAAAATAACTAAATTTAGCTCACATTATATAATGGAAGTAAATAAATCAAATCAGATCCTGTAATGTTCATAAAAAACTTTTAATGAATTTCAAGATTCATTGAAATTACTAACTAATAATCCGATCCTTGGTTAGATGGAAAAACCAAAAATCATCTATATACACTACAAGAAAACACAATTCATTTCCAACAAAAAACACATCAGAACTCTGTCCAGAAGAACCTTTCTCACATATATCAGCCTATCGGTTTGTCAAAATTCCAAATCCATCGGAAAATTTAATAAGTTACTGGTAATTTTTTTTAGTCGGAAGAAACTGTTGGAAATCCATTAAAAAGATCTGTTGGAAATTTGGTAGAAAATTTGTGATGGATTTTCGACAGATTTTATATAAGAAAACTTTGACAAATTTTTTGACAAGTGTTTTCGAACAAATTTCTGAGAAATTTTCAATAAATTTTTAACGAATTTTAGAAATTCAGGGTCCGTAGAAAATTTGTCAAAAAGTCGACCGGATACTGGTAAAAAAGTTTCAACAAGGTAAATTTATGATAGATTTTCCATAACATAATTTTGACAAATTTTTTGACAGGTGTTTCCAATAAATTTCTGAAAATCTTTCACCAACTTTGTCAACGAATGTCGGAAGAAACTGTCAAAAATCCATTAGAAAACTCAGCCGAAAACCCGTCAGAAACTTGTAAAAAATTTAAGTGAATACAAAACAAAAAAAACCAACATGATTAAAATTTCAGGAAAGTTACAGTGTTATTTAGTTAAATGAAACATTAAACCAAAATTAAGAGAGTAAAAGTGGCTATATATAGATGGAAATAAAAAGGTAAAGCAAGTGGTGAACGCACCCTGCAGTCAGGAGTGTCTCGGTAGGGTTTGTGAAGTTGTGTGTTTGGCACAACAGATTTTACTTTTTTCATCACACGTAAGATTTTCTTATGACACATCAGACGTTATGTTAAGTCATTGGTCGGTCCATATTCCTTTCTAGTATCACATGTAAAGCAATTAATGTCCTTTTCTATATATATATTTTAAATACTTTTACTTTTATTTCACCGGGCCCTTGGCCCTTGCCAAATGGTACATCGTTTCTGAGCAAAGGAGGAAGGAAAAACTGGCTAAGAATACAAGCTCTAACATGAGAATCCCGCTTGTAAACATAGCCCCAAAAAGAAGCAAACAATACATCCAAAGATTGGCTAAAAAGAGAGTGAAAAAGATAAGATAAGAAATTTAAGAAAGTAATGTCCAACTAGAGAGCTGGAGAATTGCCGAACTGAAAGTAACCAAACTAAGTAGAGAGGAACGAGTCCTTACTCGAGGCTGAACTGGGGCGTAGGCTGGCAGCTTGGCGATCTAAACCGGCAAGGTTTCTACGCAAGATAGCGTGAATATCCTTGACAACCTGAGCCGCGGGCTTGGATACGACACTGTGTAGCCTGGCATTCCGCTCTTTCCAAATCTCATAGATAGATGCATGAAGAACCAATTTGCATATGACATTTATCCTGTGGTTAGATGAAGCCGATCTGACCCAAGAGACAATATCATCTAGAGCGAGAGGAGGAGATAAACACCTGTGAGTAAGAAGCGAGCTCCAAATCTGAGAAGCATAATTACAACCAAAGAAAAGATGTGACCGAGATTCCGAAGCATCATCCCACAGCAAGCAAGTATCCGACACCGGCAAACCCCATGATCTCAGCCGGTCTCGAGTGGGTAACCGATCCCTGCAAAACACCCAGAGAATAAAAGCATGCTTCGGGATAGCTTGTGAAAACCATACCGATGAAACCCAAGAAACAACATGTCCTACTGGGTTTAGAGCCGTCCAGGTTTTAGAGGCAGAGAAAATATTTGGAACTGAAGTAGGAGAGGTGTAGATATCATCCAAGTTATGCACGATCTCCGGAGAAGTGGGGAGAATGTCCCGAAGTAAAACCGATATGGGATGGCGGCCACGCGGAAGCATCCAAACACCATCACAAACGGCATCAGCAACAGTAGCAGAGTACAGAATACCCGTTACTCTCGGACCGTTAGCACCCGTGAGAAGGATTAATGGACCGAGGTCGGTCCAATCATCATGCCAGAAGAGAGCACGAGAACCAGAGACAACAGAACAGCATAGGAAAGACCGAGCAAGATTCCGCAACTTAAGCAATTTCCTCCAAATCCAACTACCACTCTGACTTGATCTTATATCCCAAAAGACTCTGCCTCTATATATCTCAACACTCTGGCTTTTCTATATATTTTCCCCAAGCACAGCCAAAGGACAGAAAAAAAAAGAGTTACAGTGCTCACGGAGAGCATCATCAGACACATGCATGCTCGTTGTTTCTCTTTTTGAGACTGGCTATTTTGGATCTTATCAAGGTGGTATGTGCACCTTGGGAGTGGTCTCTTTTTATTCCTTGAAGTTGTCTTTTCCTAATTTTTCCAGCTTTTGTTTATGTTTAAGATAGTTTGGACGACTATTTGGCTAGAGATGCTAGATCGTACGGATGTGGTTACTTTCTCTTATGTACGTCTTTGTATTCAAAACTGGCTTAGTGGCTGGTATTCAAATTCGATCCAAAAGAAATAAAGTGTGTGTTTTTGTAGCAAACTCTCTAAGGGAATTTTTAGCATATCGATTTTAGTGGACACGGATTTTGCGCCAATGAGATTATGAACGTGATCAAGGACTTACGTGTAAACACATTTATGCTTTGAGGTTTTTCCATTTCATTAAAAACAGAAAACCATGGCAAAAATTTTAAAATATATTTTGGGAATATTTTTTCTTACAACGATTTACAGGGCGTTAAAAGATAAGAAACAAAATGCCTAATTAGGCGACACAATCATTGAAATAAAAATAAAAAATCATGCATGGTGGTGTATGTATATTATCAACCAAATAGTCTATGCATATATATTGTACTCATGCGGCTCCAGCATATATATGTGAACTTTGACTGTATTATTCGAATTCTTGATCAATTCGTGTTTCCTCCAATGCAAGATTTACAAACATGGTCATATATGCCGAGAACAATTTCGGATATAGAAGAAATTCAGTTTGTCTTCAGTTCACCCTCAGGTCAACCTCACTAAAGAGTGTGATATGCGTAGATACAAGTGTGCTTGGCAGTTGGCACTCATAACAAACTGATTTATCTCAACACGTAGGATTTGCTTACGACGACAAATTGGACGAAATCATGTGGCCCACTATTTTTTTAGTTATATATAATATGCAGTATCGTATTATGGAATAAAACTTTCCATGCAAAGCAGAAAAAACGAACAATATGTAGGGCATATACTCTCTGATTAATTGGTAACTTACAACGTGTCACGAACTCCCGTTTTAATATGAAAAACCCTTTTTACATGTACATAAGTCTAATTAAATGACTATTATTTATTTAAGGTGAAAGCGAGACTTAAAAGAGAGATTGAATATAATCTAATCATAAGAAATACAGTCAAAAACAAACCAAAAAAAAAAAGAAAAAAAAAAGAAAAAGGAGATTTCATGGAATACTTTGTTCAAGTATATTTTGTTCTCTTTTTTTTTATATATATTTAACCCGAAAAAAAAAGAATTTTTGATATTTTATAGCGTAATACTTTGATGCATTGAAAAGCTTCCCAGAGAGAAAAAAAAAAAGACTTTTGAGCGGTCTGCGTAGGCGGTTCGATGCGGTTAGGCGGTGCAGAGGTGAGGTTATTGGCGGTGGTTAACTTTGAGGAGATGCGGTCTGAGCTCCGAATTGAAAAAAAATTTCACAACCTAATGATTGGGTTTCTTCGACTGAAAAATTGAATGTTGCCACTTGCCTGAATGAATAAAGTGAATGCTAAACCGACACACGAAGTTTAGAAAAATATATCACGTAAGTAAAAATAATTCAGACTGGTAGCACTTTTTTTTTAACAGATAGGTAACATGTTATTTAGTAAAAGGAACGTTAAATTAACATCGAAGTTTAAGAGGCAAAAATGTGATGATAAAAACCATGTATTGTTCATCTAAGAAGACTCGCCACACTATCTAGTACCTGCCTAGCTAGATATCTAAATTACCATATCATCTCTATGGTTTTATCTACTAAATTACATTTTATACTAATAGGAGACAAATCACGCAGCGGGAGCATAATCGTAGCCACTGTCATCGTCATCACCACCATTCTCAACATATGCACCTAGAGAACTGTCCACCATATTTTCAAACACTGTGGAAACACGGTCAAAACTCTTGATGACCAGGTTTGCGACTAAAGACATCAGTGATTGAGTTGTCTTTTTGTGGGTTATGAAAGTAGAGTGATGAAAGCAATCAAGAGGCTTAAAGAGAGAGCCACAAGAAGTGTGAATGAGCTTTAAATGTTGATGTGAGTTTAGTGAAGGAATAGAGAGACCAATGAGGCTTTTTATAGATGGAAACAAAAGGCAAAGCAAGTGGTACACGCACTCTGTGGCCAGGAGTGTCTCAGTAGGGTTTGTGATATGCTCATGGAGTTGTGTGTTTGGCACAATAGTTTTTACCTTTTTCCTCACACGTAGGATTTTTGTATGACACATCAGACGATAAGTTAACTCATTGGTCCATCCATATTCTTTTATAGTATCACATTTAAAACAATGTCGTTTTTGACTAGTATAACATTTAAGTTAACACAGCATCCAAAATGAAAAGAAAAACAAATTGGAGTCTAACTGAATTCGGGGAAATGATTTCTTCTGTAGTTATTCAACAAAAAGAGTATGGTTTTATTCTTACAATACTTTTAACAATGATGGTGTTGTGTCGGTGTGTCGAGGGTTGTCAAGTTTTACCCTAAATGAAATCAATAGCCGCAAGTGCACAGCTAATCGATTGTAGTACTTAGAGATCGAATCCACAGGGAAGGAGGATCTTTTCCTGCAAAAAGCCTTTGAAATAAGTATAAAGTAAGGAAGTCTAGAACCAAACAGTTTTATGGGGGTTTGGTGGTGTGTTTAAAATGTAAAAACGAAATCTTAAAAGAAAATACGGGAATTAAATTGCGTAATAACTAAACTTAACGAAAATGACTAAAAATGAGAAAAACGGATATTCTAATTGCTTAAATGAAAATGAACTAAAAAGCAAAGACAATATTGAACTAAAGCTTGAAAGAAAATCGGTGTAAATCAGAAAGGAAGAAGGCGTTGGGGTTCAGGGAAGTTTTCTCAGGGGTACGAACGATTCAAAACATTGCTAGAGAGTAAAATTGATAAGATCTTAGCTTAAACTTTTCGAACTGGAGTCACGGACGTATGAATACGCCACTGTCGTGATCATAGACAACTATCTCTCTCAACTCTGACCAGTAGGTTTCGACTCTGGCCCTGGAAGAGAAGAGATGCATTATGTTTAAGACTCGTCCTAATTCACAAATTGCACATAGGTAGGTTTCCACTCCTATGTTTGTTTTGCTCTCCCAAACTTGATCTAATACCTGATGAACACTTTCGTGTCACCAAGCATCTGGATCAGATTGTAGTTCATGACGCTACTCTCATGCAGTAAAAACGAATTCAGAAGAAAAAGTTCTAAGATTCGGCTCAAAAGCTCATGAAATCCTCATCGAACATATAAATCCCCATCGAAAATCCCTTAATCCCAACAATAAAACTACTCAGACATGATGAACAAAATCAAAGAAACCGAAATTGAAAAAGAAAGAACAAGGGTTCAAGAGAACAAATCTCTCTCTCCCTAAAAGCTAAAGCAAAAACAATAAAAGTATGAAGTAAAAATTTGGTAGTGATAGGTTGTACTCCGTTTAGGGTTCCTAAGACATGTATTTATAGTGCTCAAAACCTCTCTAGACGTCACTTAGGGTTTCTCCAAATGTGGGCTTCAGAAATGGGCTTTTTGGGCTCGGAGGTTGATGGCCGCGGTCGGGAGTGCTCTGACCGCGGGGAATGAGTGATTTGCCGTGGTCGGGATGCTTCTGACCGCGGGAAATGGCCTGTTGGCCGCTGGTGGAAATGCTCGCCGGCTGGTTTACGGCTTTGGTGTTGGTTTATGATTCTAGACTGGTCATGCTTGGTATTTCAAACTCTGTTTTCTCGGAATAAGATTGTTTGCAAGTTGTGTCACTGTATCGAAAAATTGGCTTCTAAACTTGAAGTAATGGACAAACAAAAACACCAACTCAAACAAAAAGTTCAAAGACAAACTTGTATATTATCCAACCACAAACGCCAATCCAAAACAAGGAAACAGAACTTGAATATTAAACAAAAAGAAAAAAAAACATTGATCAAGAACTACATAAAGATAAAATACATGATCAAAACCATAACTAAACCACATACAATCATATTTTTCATAGCACTAACAGTGGTGTTGAGCTTCTCTATCCCTTCTTCACACCTACCGATCACAGTTTTGAGCTCCCCAAGCTCCTTTTGAAATCCTTGTGCACTCACTTTTATGGCATCAATGTCACTTCCATAGCTGTTTGCTATGGCTTCGCAAGTCCTTGTCTCACATGTTAGTGTACCCATTTCCGTTTCAACATCATGTAAGTCTTTCTCTAACATTTTCACATCCTCTTGCATCTTATCAACTTCACTCTGAACATATCCCAGCTCTTCTACCCTAGCAATATCTGTCCACTTGAACAGATGATTCTTATCCTACCAACAAGACAAGAAAATCAGATTGTATCGATGACTACCACCAAATTGAAAAAACGCTTAAGCATAACTCACAATGGTATTACCTCCTTCGAACCAGACGGACAACAATAAAACAGCCTTCCTGGATTTTTATATGTCTCTGAAGTTCTCATTATAGACCTTTCACCACATCTACATCTTTTCGGTATTCCTCTATCTCGTTCAGACACATGTGGTCGGAAGCAAATCTCTTCACAAATTGCACAAGCAAAACTTAGAATCTATGACCGATTTTAGAAAAAAGCATCTTAGGAGACTACCGAACTCACAAAAACTGTTAATTCATAAACACTAACCTGAATTACTCGAGGAAGACATCGATATCGGAGAATTCTGAATGGTTTGGAACAACCTTCGACCCTTAATTTCAAATCCCTAAATCGATGATGGAGTCGTCGACTCTCGAGAGTTTGAATAAAAGAGAAGGAAAAAACAAAACGACGTCACCTAAACCCATTACGAAATGACGTCGTTTTCTCAGAATTGTTTATCACTCACGAAAGCTCCAAACGACGACGTTGCTTACGTGTACGCCACATAGACATCGTTTAACGGTTCGTTAACATGGATTAGACGGAAATTGATTTAAGCACATAATCGAATGATTGAGGATGAAATTCAAATACTTATAAAGAGTAAGTATGTTTACACCGAAAAAATTGTTTAAGTCTAAGATTAACATTTTCGTAGAGTTTAGGGCTGAAAAAGCCAATTTTCCTGTACATCTACCTTGTGACCTAGCTTGTTGACAAATCATAAGTTTTCGTCATGTGCAATATAGGCAAAATGTAATAATATTGCCGTTATGTATTTGTATATCTCCATGCATACAAATAACAAATGATTATATTTTGGGAAAAATACCAAAAAATACCTCATTCTCCACCTCTTTCTTTTGTCGAACCATGCTAAGCAAAGATGCACGGTTCCAGTCTTCCATGAACTTTTAGCGTTGCCAGAAACCCACACAAACTATTTTTTCGATGCATAAAAATACAAAAGTTTTTTAAAGTTTCATTTTCCCCCCTCTGATTTCACGGCCGTTAACAGACATAACGGAATTAATAAACAGCGTTAATTTTTTGTAGGAAAAAATACTAAAAAATACATCAACTATTTAATTTTGCCAGAAACCCACACAAACTTTTTGCATTGCCAGAAATCCACACAGACTATTTTTTTAATCTATAAAAATACACAAACTTTTTAAAATTCCATTTTCCCTCCTCAAGTTTCACGGTCATTATAGACATAACAGAATGGAAAAACTGCGTTAATTTTCTATAACATGTGTTAATTATTGTCAAATTAATACCATTATTACTTTTAAAAAGAAAAACCTGAACTCTAATTTTTTTCTCTTACTATTTCAGAAATTGAGTGAAATCGGTTGAAAATGTAGTTAATAGAGCAATAAATCATGTTTAGAACACATACATCATCTCCTCGAATTGCTCTTATTAGTCTTATATATCACAACACACAATGTTTCCGACTCGATTTATACTACCAACCATATTTTTCAACTGATTTCACTCAATTTCTAAAAGAGAGAAAAAAATTAGGGTGTAGATTTTTCTTTTCCAAATCGATTTGAAGATTTTCTAAGGGTAATAATGATATCAATCCTAGAGTAGTTAGCACGTGGTACAAAAAACTAACATAATGACCATGAAATTTGAGGACGGAAAATGTAATTTTAAAAAGTTTGTGTATTTTTATAGATTAAAAAAATAGTTTGTGTGGATTTTTGGCAATACAAAAAGTATATGTGGGTTTCTGGCAAAATTAAATAGTTGATGTATTTTTTTAGCATTTTTTCCTACAAAAAATTAACGCTGTTTATTGATTCCGTTATGTATGTTAACGGCCGTGAAATCAGAAGAGAGAAAATGAAACTTTAAAAAATTAGTTTGTGTGGGTTTCTAGCAACGCTAAAAGTTCGTGATTCTTCCAAAAATTAAATAAATGAGATATTTTTTGGCATTTGTCCCATTATATTTTTAGAAGTATTTCTTTTCCAAAACATAGCGTGCTATTTTTAGATTAATGTCTGTCAATTATATTTCTATCATGTGTGTGCAATCTGTAATCTTAGGGTTTCATACCATTATTTTTAGCACGTTAATATCGGTATATTCATGAACGCCTAAACGAAGTGAGAAGATTTGAAGAGGTTTATATATAATAGCTCACTAAAATATTTAATCCATTTTTGCATGCCTTTTGTTTGGTTTCTTCTAGTTATCATATTTTATTTCCTCAGTAAGTCCTCAGTCTTTGTTGGATTGCAAACTTCAAATTGAAAAGTATTTGATTGGTTTGTGACGATTTATATTATGCAGTGTTTTATATATTGGTTAAGTACTGTTTTTAGATAGATACCAAAGTGGTGTTGATTAATTTACGCTACAATCTCATATAAAATAAGAAAAATAGAAGTACTATTTAGTAGCTTGAAGTCTTGAACTCGTTAATTATAGGAGTATTTGGGTTTTACAAAATTTTAAAACTAGATGATGTCCATACGCGGATATGCTTATGGTTTCATAATACTTGCTTCAGTTGCTTGGCTTCCCTTTTATCTAAAAAGTAGGAAATTTATAGAACTTGATTTATAAACGAATTGGTTTAAACTTTAAACTTTAGAATCGGCTTTCTCAATTCGGATATAAATTGAATGTTGCCCGATCATTAACTACAAAAAACATAATCTAAAAAAATATATCGAAATGAGCAAAAATTCAGGAAACCAACAATATTATTTAGTTATATGAAATGTTAAATTAACTTACAAAACTAAGAGACAAAAAAGTGACTATGTTAAAGGAAGACATAATTCTCTACATTATAGAAACCATGTGTGTTCATCTAAAAAGCCTCACCCCACTATATAGTACCTACATGGCCTAGCTATATATCTAAATTACCTTATCATATCTTTTTTTTCTTCCTAAATTACATATTATTTTAAATAGAAAAATCAGGCAGCAGGAGCATAATCGTAGCCACTGTCATCGTCATCACCTCCATTCTCAGCAAATGCCGCCTGAGAACTATCTACCACATATTCAACACATGCGAACGCACAATCAAAACTCTTGATGGCCAAGATTGCAACAAAAGACATAATTGATTTGTTTTCTGTTTGTTATGAAAGTAGAGAGGTGAAAGCAATCAAGAGGCTTATAGACAGAGCCACAAGAAGTGCTATGAGCTTTAAATGTTGATTTGAGCTTGGTGGAGGAATAAGAGAGACTAATGATGCTTTTTATAGATGCAAATTAAAGGTAACGCAAGTGGTGAACGCACTCTGTGGTCAGGAGGACCTCTGTAGGGTTTACGATTTGCTCATGGAGTTGTGTGCTTGCCACAATAGATTTTACCTTTTCCCTCACACGTAGGATTTTCTTATGACACATCAGACGTTAAGTTAAGTCATTGGTCCATCAATATTCGTTTCTAATATCACATGTAAAGGCAAGCATTGTCCCTCCACCAATATTCCACAACCACGAGCATAAAATAAAATAAGATGAGTTTTGGAGCTTTATTAAAACAAAGACCATATGATCACTACTTTTGATGAATTTCGATTCTTCTTGGCTTTTGGTGACTGAAATTTTCATTCGATGAGTGTCATCAGATGAGAGCTAGTGATCCTAATGAGCTGCAAAAGATTACGTAGAGACTGCTATGTTAATGGCTAATATCGGGGCTAACTTAACTTCTTGTTGTGGCTGGGCTTCTTCACAATACTATGATAAGATTCTTTCATGAGATACGATTATATTCTTAAAAAAATTGGAGCAGGAGTACTTGCTGATTTGATTGAAGGGTTAAGCAGTCTATATTCTTGGGCTTAAGGTGAGTTATACAAATATTAGACAAAAAAACAATAATTAAAAATTAAAATAATAAATACAGTAACAGTATTCAAATATAAATTAGAATAAATTTAATCTTCTGACTATTTTGGATGTATAATTAGTTGATCCAAAAAATTAAATTATAAATTAATTTTGAAAGTAGTGGGTTAACTATATGATGTAGAAAACTCATAAAAGTGGAGACGACAAATGTGACAAAAAAATATTACCATTTTTATGGACAGTCGAACTCATACACTTAATGAATACAAACATTTTTAACAATAATAAGCAGTGTTAAAAAAATCGGCCTACTCGGCCACTAGGCAGCTAGTCAGGGTTAGCCTACCCGATTTTTATAAAATCAGTGAAGCAAATCCGATTTAGTAAAAAATCGGACCAAGTCGGAGAAAATCAGAAAAATCAGACCAAATCGGTATTTGGCCGAATTATTTTTATTCTTTTTTCAGTCAAATTTTACGGTTTAGGATAGTAAACCAATATCGGTTTACAGAAAGAGAGAAAAAAAACAAGATTTGAAACGTGGATTAAGGTTAATAACTTAATATAATCATCATCGTTCCTCCCCGCTACTTCACTTTCATAAACTACAAGAGTCAATCATTATTCTCTATTGCTGAACTCTACAACTTTGTTTAATCTTCTCTTTATCTATCTGTACATATTATATAACTATATTGTCTTCTCTTAATTTGTCTTTTCATCTTTGTTTACTTTGTTTGTGCTCTGTTTTAAATTTTAACTTTCAATTTTAACGATGAGTCTAGAGGAGATATTGATTCCGACGATGAAAATGATATAGCTATTGATTTTGAATTTGAGTCTGAAAATGAGTAGGTGGTGGATATATATGGATGTGTTTGAAGAATAAGTTAGATATATTTCTCTTTGCTTTATATTTTTAAAGTTTTTAGATTAAAACTTATTTTAGTTTGAAGAATTTGATGATTTTTAGTTTGATTTCTTTGTTGAACTTTATTCTATAATTTTATTTATTAAATTTTCTTACTTTTTTATTCAAACATAAATTTTGATAAAATAATTTTTAAGAAAACAATTAAAACTTTTTTAAAAATATGATATATAGATAGAAAATTTATAAAAATTAACAAAAATGTTGCTAACGCCTAGGCTCCGCCTAGTTTCCGACTAATCCGCCTAGGCGCTAGTCTCCTATGACCCGCCTAGGCACCGTCTAGCGATTTTTTGAACATTGATAATAAGCCCATAAAAACATGAGTAAATACTTTTTGTAAACGTGGGCCTTTAGGAATGGTTTCCTATCTGACTTTTCTATTGTTTGCTCAAATTTGTGAAATATTTGATGGGGAAATATGGTATTTTGATGGTTATTACCTTTTTCTTATAAGAGTAAACAAAGCCCTAGGGGTAAGAAACAAGGAATATTGACTTTTTTCGTATCCAGTGTGTGTTTTTGCATAGGTTTCCAAGCTTTATCAATTTGAACAAACTGGCCATGCACGAGAGACAATTTAAATCTCAATATCTTCTCATGCATTATACTCATTACTCAATACCGGATTAGGTCATTATATATCCTTTTTAAAGACGCTTTAGGTTCGATCACAATCATCGATTACTCATGCTTTATCTCAATCAAACAACCAAGAGGTCGAAGCTACTAAGCAAGACCAAATCAATGATTGACGTTATTATCAACCAAATACGTTCGTATAATGATGTGACTTCGTTTTAGTATAATTTATAGTTCCATATTAACAACTGTAGATATTGACCTAGGTTCTTATGTTCTAATCACACAGCAAGCAATCAACAGAGACATCACTAAACAAACGATTAAAAATATATTGTTTTATTTTATTGGTTTTTTTTACCATCGATTTTAAATAACGTTTAACTTAAATAAAATTTTCTATCACATTATCGGGTTTCTGTGTATTCTTTTTAAATCTATTTCTATATTTTTAATCTCATAATATTTTTTTGTCAGTTTTCTTTTTTCATTAATCTACTAATTATAATTTTTATTTTATAATTATTACTTAATACTAATTAAGTATGGAGATATGTATATTTGATTTAGACAAATATTATGGGCTGAGATCATTTCTATGGTTTAAGTATTGGCATGAGAGTAATTTATATGGCTCGTGGGGAATAAGTTATGTTAATAACGCGTTTTGCATAATTTTAATGGCCCGAGGTTCAAATATATGTGATATGATAAAGGCCTTACCAATTCCGAATGCCATTTATGGCGAATATGGAGCCCTTTGGAGTCATATATATGACGATTTCCGGTGTACATTCTCATCCACAACAATTTATAATGATCAGATTCAACAAATCAACAATACAAGTAGTTGGCACCTTGGAGTGAAGTAATATGGTTTTCTCAAGGCATTCCAAAATACAGCTTCATATGGGTCGACTTTCCACCAGCAAACGTATTGAGCTTGGGGCCCTATTCAAGCAGAGCCGGCTTAAAAATCCTGAAGGCCGGAAGCGAAAAAAAAAGAAGAAGGTCATTTTATTGAAGAAAACAATAAGTTAGTGAAAAGCGAAGAAAAAGAGAATTAAACTGCAGTCTTTGGTGCAATGTGAAGAAGCACTGACCACTAGATTACTTGAACATTTACCAATTTGGTGACCGATTAAATAAATATAGGAATAAAGACCGCAATCCCAAATTTGCCTCGCTTGGGCTCAGAACCGGCCGGTTCTGTGTAACTCAAGCATGTATTTTGTGATGCAAGAAAAAAATTAGAGACCATTCTCCTTCCTCTCTATATTATTATTTAAATAGACAATTAAAAAAATAATCTTTATTTTATAAAATATTACATGATATATCATTATAAATAACAAAAAATTATTAAAATAGAAAATGATATAGTTGTCTTTCAAATTTATTGAAAAAAATATAGAAAGTCTTTGTTTCTCATTTAATAGAATATATTTATTATATTTAATTTCTGTATTCAAAAATATGGTAGTTTTTATATTTTTTTGTTTCAAGTGATATCATAAAGTATATTTAATTTAAAAAACGTGAAAATAAAAAAAAAATTCACACTTAAATAATATAAAATCAAGACTAAAAGTTATGATATAAAAAATGGTGAAATATTTTTAACTATAATTTGTTATATTTACTTGATTATATACAAAAATAATTTTTATTTATTTTTACCAAAATTTGACATGAAAAAGTCAATTTTTAATTAAAAACGTTTGTGGTGAAATGAGAGTTATTAAACGGTACATATTATAATTAATTTTATATTTTTAATCCGGTACAAACATGTTAAGTAAATGGTTAGTTCGATATGAACGGATTATGATTCTAATTTTTTAATTTCCACCAAAAAAAATCTCGCAATTCAGAATATTAGTTTTTTAAAAAGATGGTATATTTAATCTACTAAATATTATAATTTATCTTTTAAAACAAAATATAGGTTGTTGTATTTTAATTAATTTTATATCAAAAATAATATTAAAGAATATTATATATATTTACAAATATAGTTAAAGAAAATAAGACTGATTTTTGATCGTTTGTGGACAGATTATAAAACTCAGTTATTAAAGAATATAAATTAGATTTTATGATTATAATATTATAATATTTATATATTAGTCTCGATAATATATTAGTCTAATGCCTACAGGTTAAATAAACAACTTATTTTGCTTTACCCGCTAATAAAATAACTTCATATACAGATTAACTCATTTTTTACAATTTAAACCAAAAAATAAAAATGACTTTATATACAAATCAACTTATTTTATAAAATTCACAAAATAACTATTTTTTCAAAATAACTGTTTTTGAAAAATAATTATTTTGAAAATTATTAGGTCAAAAAAATATCTCCGCGCTACAGCACGAATTAATCCCTAGTTGCATTGATTAACATAGAAGGGTCTGTGTTACACCAAATAATTATCACGTCAAATTGGTTTCAAACAAAAAAAATTGATTATTTTGACGTGATAATATATATTTTCAATGTATAACTATTTTTTATGCTTGATAACCATTTATATTTTATAGTTTGTTTTAAATGATATATTTTTTTTTCTGTGTATACTGAAAAATTTAAAATTTTTTTTATCATGTGTATAAGTAAATCTAAACATTAATTATTTAATGGGGTATCATAAAACAAAATGCTTCCTAGAATTTGTCCTTAAATGTGAAATTTTTCTATATATTTGTTCTTAAGAAACTTGGGTCTCTTCTCTCTCTCCGTTCTTTCTCTCAAAATCTTTCACATAGAGAAAGAGTGCTTTTTTTTTTTGTATTTCCGATCTAAATCGGATCTATCTTTCCAACTAGAGAATCATGTTCATA